GTGTGAGTGTATTGGGAGATCCTTAGCTTTAAATCACAACTGGTTTCAGTGAGGGCACCTTTGTGGTTGCACTGTGGTCAGGTGGTTGCACTTAGGGCAAATCATTGGTTGCAGGGCGGGCAGGTGGTTGCTTAAGGGGCTACTCAGACGTAAGCATTTTTCCCTATTATTATGCTAGTTATCTGCTAGAACATCTCCTAAACACTGCCAAGTCAGTGATTTCACTTGGTGCCCTCTAAGCAACCAATAATTTTTTTTTTCTCCAATCATTAAAAAGTTGTGAGGAAGAGTTGACTCGTGGTTGCATTGGGGCAAGTTACTCTATCTATCTATCGATCGATCGATCTATCTATATATATATATATATATATATATATATATATATATATATATATATATATATGCTAGATGGATTTTATATAAATGAAAATTGATAAATTCAATTTTGACCTTTATTATTATAATTAATTTAAAGGTATTCTGCGAAACATTGTATTCAGTTGTAAAGCACGTAAACGGATAGAAACGGAAACACACCTAATAAACAGCAACAAACTACCAATATAAATACATGTATATTATCTTTTTAATAATTTAATAAAATTAGTTGACTTTTATCCTTACACATGACACCACTGACCGTTGATTGTTTGGCTATTTGTTTATTGACATTTACTAGAGCCAAGTAATACTATAATTTTATTGTCTATTATATTAGGGTAGTTTTCACTCATTCTGCACAGTTAAGTCGTGGTCAGCTGTGTGTGAGTGTGAGCCGGTACTGACAACTTAACTTAGTTAAGTTATAATTTAGTTTACTTAGCGTTATCTTAAGTCTAAGTGAGTTAAAGTAATAATATTAGGTCTAATAATAATAAATAAATAAACTTAACTACTGATTTTACTTATATATTTATTATTAATTATATGACATGATATTAATAATTAATATATTATATTTATGGCATGGCATCCTTCAGACATCATAAGAAAAAGACAATTGAGTAAATATTAACACTTCATCAAATGGCTTATGAGGCCGATCCTGGAATGACAGTCTTGGCTGCACTGACTCCTTGACTCCTAGTTAAATTTGCCTTCTGAAATGCTTTTATTGTTGCAAGGGCTTCGTTTTAGTTTTGCACATTTATTGAATCATAAACTCATAGTTTTGATCATATATTAATTATTAATATATTATAATTTATTTTCTATTTATTATTTAGTCATTAAAATTTAACTTTTATTTTCTTATTTGAACCAAGTGATATCCTTATTATTTATGTTTTCAACACAAATGAGATAGTGACACATTTTTTTTTTAAGTATCAAGAAATTAATCAAACAAACATGCATGCATGGGTGTTCTCAAAAGAAAACTTATATTACTCACTGGCACTTCTCTTCTAAATTTTTCCACACAAAAAATTCAGCACATGATGGCCACTGAAGTGTATGGTGTATTTGCTGATGAAGATTTTTCAAAATCCTTAAGTGAACTTGACAAACCTGATGTTGAGGGCTGGGAGTTCTTTGTGGAGTCACAGGGAGTGACTATATATAGATTGTTTAATGAGGTAATTAACTGTTTAATAGTCTTAATAAACATGATCACAATAATGACCTTTTAAGGATGATTACAGTTATAGTCCTTTTTCAATTACATTTTGAAAATTTTTAATTGGTTTTTTCACTACAGACCTCAGGTTTATACCAATACAAAGTATATGGTGAACTAGCAGATGTTTTACCTGAAACCTGTGCAGAAGTATACATGGACTTAGAATATCGAAAACAATGGGATACTTATGCCAAAGGTATGTTCTTATATTATCAGCACATTAGCTTCAAGTACAAATATCTAGATGTCTTTAATTAATGTACTAAAAAATCCAGACTCCTTTTGTTTAAAACTAAAGCTTCTGTAATTTCTGGATTTTTAATGTTTCTAGTACAGTAAAAGCTTAGACTGTTCTACAAACAGTGCAACAGATATCTCTGAAAGGACAAATAAATGTACAACTTTTTGGTATTATGGCACTAAAGCCTTTATTTGCATCAAGCATTATACCATACAGTGATTCTTTGTCCACTCATTTCACTGGTGTTCAGGAGGCTATGCAGTAGGTGAAATGTGAAAATAATTTTTTAACACCACCATCAAGCCAATGAGACAGAATAAATTTACCTTTTTATTTAACCAACATTTATTCATTGCATTTCTGTGTATTTTTGTCTACAGTGCTTGAAGTGAAGGAATGTGAAGGAAGAAATTTGGTCTACTGGGAAGTTAACTTTCCTTTTCCTCTATGGAATCGGGATGTATCCTTAGTGCTTTGTAATTTCATTTATCATAAGAGGAGTGTTGGAGGTCATTGGAGACTTTTAGTATTTATGTATTAAGCACATAACTCATTTAGGCTAACTTGTTAACTTTTCATTTACAAAAGCAACTTGCAAACATTTTCAATGATTCAGCTTTTTATGAAACATAACAATAATAATTTCAATAATATTCAATTAATTAATTGGTACATAATGACATCAAAAGATGTGTGCATCAATTATCCATGACATGGCAACTTTGTGAAACCATACATTTGGTCTGCTACTTCATAAATTTTCTGAAGAATTTAGCATCTTGATATTTTTTGTGTGATATCTCTTATCAAATCCACCCTTTCCCTAAAGTCACACTTTTTACAATTAAAATTGTGAATATGATGTCATATATGGACATTATAAAATTAATCTTAAATTTTTTTAACCCTAATAACATTTTCTCCTGTACAAAATCAAGCATGACTAATTACTGATATTTGAATACGAACCTTAACCAAAATTGTTCAGTATATTTATGGTAGAGAGTTTCGAATTATGGACAAAGATGGCAGTAAGGTATGGATAGTTCTTGCCAAATCATTAGAAACACCTACAGTTCCAGAGAAAAGTGGAATCGTGAGAGTTGATGATTACTTACAAAGTGCAGTTTTGTGTTCGAATGGAAAAAATGGAACAAAAGGTTTGATCGAAATTTATTTAAGCTTAAACTAAAGTTAAGTGAAAAATATCATTTTTACAATTAAAAAAAAATATATATAATTTAAGTAGCCATTTAAAGAAAATATTGAAATTAATTTCTTTAGTATTTAATTGTCATTTACTACATAGATCAATTTCAACTGATTTAATGATCTCAAATCCGATCATACATTTTCTTTTTTTTTTTTTCAGCATTCATGCAGTATTATGACAATCCAAAGGGAAATATACCAAAGTGGTTAATAAACTGGGCAGCCAAGGTGAATGAGTTTTTTTCTTTTAACTAACCGGTTTACTGAACTTTGGTAAATTTTCAAAAATATATTGACACGGTTTCTTTTTCTCAGGTGTTTTAAACTTTGTATATTTTTTCGTTCAACCAGACTGGCGTCCCTCAATTCCTAACTATGATGCAGACAGCATGCAGGGGCTATACAAACTACTTAGAGTCCAAAAAAATTGCCAAGCCTTCAAGCTGATTTTCAAATGTGTAATCTCTTCATTTTAATTATACTTTTCTTTAGTTTTCTTGGCTCAAATGGTTTGAAAAGATGTGAGGCTTGTCTCAGATTTTTGCCTTTATTTATTTGCCTATAAATGTTCTTGCGGTTATAGCCTAACATATTTTTGTTTACTTTCATTTACTGAGACTGGTTTCGATTTTAAACTGAAATTCACTTTGTTCAGAAGGCCTATTGTTCACAGCTTTTTTTTTTCTGAACAATTCTGTTGTGCAATAGTAATGTTTATCACATGTGTGTCTTGTGTGTGCTTCCCAATCAGATGTTAATCTGTGATTTTGCTGTTTTATGCACCAGTCACCAGTACTATTTAAATTTAATTATGCTTTTGTTGCCCTTACAAAAATAAGAGCATTATTTTTTTTTTAAACTAACAATAGAGAATTCCATTTTTTTTTTAATTGCAGATATTTTATCTTGAAATGAAAAGATTTTTTTTTTTTTTTTACAAGAATTACTTACTCCATTTTTATGAAATTTTTTCTTTTTTTTTAATTTTTTTTTCCCCTTTTTTTTTTTTCTTTTTTTTTTTTCTTTTTATTTTTTTTTTTTTTTTTTTTTAAACTAACAATAGAGAATTTCATTTTTTTTTTAATTGCAGATATTTTATCTTGAAATGAAAAGATTTTTTTTTTTTTTTTACAAGAATTACTGACTCCATTTTTATGAAAATTGTACATTTTATTTAAATTTTTATACACCCATTTGTCTTTTCTTTTTCTATTTGCTTTAAATATTTTTGATATAATAAATCAGGACAAGTATTTTAATACCAAATGTGTATTGTAATTTAAAATATTTTATAAGGAGTGTGTGGATGGATGAATGCAGTTGCTCTTATAAAACTAACTGGTTGTGTACATTTCAAAGAAATCTATTACTATTACTTGCTAAATTTAAGTAACATATATATAAATATAATATATTTTAAATAATTAATCAAAGTAAATGTATAGCATTTGCTTTGAATCAGGGTTAATGAATTTCATCAGCTTTGGGGATGTTCCTTTATTAATTTTAAGACAGCAACATGTTTTAATTCATACCACCTATTGTAGATTCAACCTGATATGGCATTGTGCAAAAGTAATTTTTTTTTAAACAATAGGATAGCAGCAAAACATTTTTTTCCTTTGTACTTAAGTTTACTCAGAGAACAATAAAAACGCAATTTAAAAATACAAATAAAATTAAAGTTCAAACAGAATTCTGTTGTTTCAGTTCTTCCTTGTGTAAAAAAAAAAGTTTGTAGTAATTTTTTTTTTGGAAAGGATCATTTAAAGTTATTTTTATACCATGTGATTATTATCACGTCCAAAATAACAGAGACTTAAGTAAATTTAATTGAAACTTATTGAAATTACTATATCATTAGATGGAATGGGTTGGGTTTTTTTTTCAGTAACCTTTTGACACAAGCGTTGTTTTTTTAATGATATATATATCATTGTGAAATATCAAGGATGAGCAAGAATAATACACATTTTTAAACCTGGATCAGTGCGAGAAAGCATTACATGACTTTAGCCAGTCTATTAATCTGTTAAAAGATTTAAGAAATAAGCATGACCTGTGATTTTAAGACAGGCAATCAGTTCATATATAGTTTCATCAGTATTTAAACAGGATAAATAAGATCTGCCTTATTAATTCATATTTTAAAATAAATGATCCACAAGCGACCCTGAATTAAAAAGGTAGGCTATTGTATTTTTAACCAATGTATTTTCCCCTAAACTTAATGCTTTGGCTCATAAAAGAATGGTTACAGTTTGGAAGCATTCTTTTAGGAACTTTTTTGCTCCAAAAGAAAATTTGGTATGTTAAAATACAAACGTATTACTGACATTTACATATCATCACTAGTGTAATTCGCTAAACATGTTAGTCTGGTTTTTTTTTCAATTTTATTAAAGCATCTTAACGTCCAGTAAAAATATTGTTTTAAATTGCATTAGTGGAAAAGTACATCTTCTGTCACATGATCCAACATTTAAAAAAAAAAAAAAATTTATTTTAAAATAAAATGTATTATTTAAGCCGTTAGAGAGTTACTGAAAGGACTTTTTGAGACTTATTTGATAACTCTGGAAAACAAATTGAAGCTGATACAAGCACAAATACTCTAGGAAAAGTTGTGTACATAGCTCAGATATGATCTTAATGGTTTGATAATTAAATAACTATTGAAATGATGTATTGTAAGAGACCTTGCTTACTCTCTACTAACTTTCATTTATATCTGGCAATCACTAAGGAAACAACTCAGGTGATAACATTTGATGATTAAAGTCTTGCTCTTTATTGAGTTGACACTTCGCTTATACTTTGTCTCATCTCGCAACTCTGACTGCCCTCTTCCTCTACCGTCGCTGTTCTCTACCTTTGTCTGCTCTCTGTCGTTGCCTATCTCTCCAATCTAACCGTCCCCTCTTATAGGTCCACCAGCCAACCAAGGCGTCGCTAGAGATTACTCCCCCTACCTTCTTAAGTCTTGATTTATCTGCTACGCGCCAAACACCTGGACTGAACTCTGCCGTGGGTTTTGCCCCTCATCCCTGCCCGCTGCATTCCTCGCCTTAATTTATTTGGTCAGTCTTCGACTGTGGGTTTACCCCGCTCCGCTGACCTCCATTGTGTTCCACGTCTTAATTTATATGCTACCCGGCAAACACCTGGACTGAACTCTGCCGTGGGTTTTTCCCCTCACCCTGTCCACCTGGACTGAGACTGAACTCTCTACAGTATTAAAGTGTGTAATCAAGTGATGATGTAATTGGATTGAAAAATTTAGCATATGCCATCTTTTTACAGATATTTAATTAAACAAAACTGTTACACTTATTTTTTAAATATTAATTTCAATGAACCGATTTTGGCAGAAATTATAATAAAATAATAAAATAGATATACTCTGTAATACTCCAGGATCCTTTTGAAAAAAGAAACATAACCATAAAAGTAAACTTGATATGAAATATACATTAGGCATTATTAGAAACACATTAAAATAAAAAATAAAAATTTTATTTTTTTTATTGCCTGGCAACCTTCAATTCATTTTATGTTATGACAAAAGTAATGGCGATGAAATTAGATATATCCATTAACAAATCTATAGACTTTATCATAAATCAAAAAAGATAACATTAACAGATTTTAATAAATGCCACACAGAAAAATTATAATTGTATGCATGGTAAACAAAGACTAGTTTAGTAAACAGCTGCCTTATGATCAGGTTAGCTAGCACTTTAAAGAAGTGCCAAATTTTATATGACACTATAATGTAAGTTTGACTTCTCAGAACAAGGGCCAGATTTGAGACTGGGAAATTCAAGCTCTGTGAAGCATTCATCAGCACCGAAATACACAATGGATTACTGTAGAATACCATACTGGTAAAATCATATTAATCAATGGGATTCGAGAAACATAAAGTAAAAAAAAACTCTTTTGGTTACATATTCTACATTGAATGTTGTTTAAAGCTCACCAAGAACTGAAAGTAAAATTTAAACCCAAAGATAAAATAATATCATAGGCGATAAATGAAATGGAGATTTCATTTATGATGTATAATTGTATAATATCACTTTAATTTCCAAAAAATATACCCCTGTGCCTCCCATAACAACAAAAATGACATCCCAAAAATTGTTTCAATTAAAATCAGGCAACAACCAAGATCATCATGTGACTATAATATCAATTAACAAAACAGGACTTCTGAACTTGGTTAATAAATGTTGCTTTGCATATTGAACAACAAGGTTTATATAACAAGGTTATACAACAAGGTTTATATATTTCCTTAATGTTTAATTCAAAGAAGGCTATCTTAGTAAAGCTGACTGAGTCATGAGAAATAAAATTGATCCATTTTTATGCAATTTAATGAACTGTTTTAAGTTTTATTTATGACTTGAAAAAAGATGGCTGAGTGAAGTAGTTTTTATCACTAAATTTCAAAAGCCTGAGTTGGGTTGTGGACAATTTTTAACATGTCCCATAGTAAGTACTCTTCAACACATAAGTTGTTTAGAAAATTTGAAATCACTGATAATAATTGGGTTTAACACATAGTTGTTTATAAAATTTGAAATCACTGATAAAAATTGAATTTTAAAATTTTGGGTCACAGGGAAAAAGCATGGGAACCTTTGAGTGACATAATATGCCCGGGCTGTAAGAGTCTAGACTCAGCCCTCAATAGAGGATGTAACATTATTAATGACATCAAACAGACACTTTTTAAATTAACTTTATTTCAATGTAAAAGGCTAGATTAAAACAGCCTTCTCTTAGTAAATTACTGAAAATATTTGTTTCTTTTTTCCTTTGATTATAATTTTTAAATTAGGATATTACAATGATATCTTTCATTTCATACCATTAATACTGATTATAAAATGGTGAGATACATGTTTTCTGTACACAATATAGGAGAGAAGTGCACCAGTACGTCCCAGGCATGTAACAATAATAAATTGACTCTTTCTATTAACATTTTTCTTAATGATAAAAGACACCATTTAAAGCCACAGTTATGCAGTTTTAAACATAATTTTGCAACCATGAAGGAAGTTTGCCCATATTTAAGCAAAATCTTTTAATATCAAATACCTTTAATCACTAGCCACCGAATTAGGAAGGAATATTTCATAATTTTTAAATAATTTTAAAAGCAGTTATTAATTTGAACCTTTTTTTTAAAATCAATAATTTTTAAAAAAGAAATGTTTTACAGTGAAACAAATGGTTATTAAGAAGTAATGTAGAGAATAAATATCCATTTGACCAAATGAAAATTTAGATACAAATTTAACTTAATTAAGGACATCCAAAGACAATTTTATAGCCCTCACACCAAAATTAACAAGGAAAATTAAATAAAATAACAAAAAAAATCATAGTTGGTTTCTCGATACTATTTTAAAAGGAAATAATTGGAAGGAACAAATGGCATCTTCACAACCTCTGCATCAATCATATTTTGTCTCACTTCAATCTTGACCTGGGTGCCGTTCTTAGAGTGATGGGTCTTGACATAACCCATAGAAACATTTTTCTTTAGAGTTGGTGATGGGCACCCACTGGTGGTTTCCCCAATTAGTTCAGACTCATCCTCTGAAAAAATCTTGGCATGGCCTAATAGTACAAAACAAAAAGGGATTAATTCTGCTCATTTGTTCTTTTAAATTAAAATCAATGCATGTATTTAAAATATACTGGAATGCACACTTACCTCTCACGGGTATTCCTGTGGAAATAAAGCCAACCCTTCTCTTCTCAGGTTTGGATTTTATCTGCTCGAGAATTTTATTGGCACCAGGAAAATCAGATTTGGCCCTTCGAGCTTTACCTGAAAATAGCATTTCAACATCAAAAATTGTTTAAACGTCATTACTATTCCTAAGTAAGTCCTGATCATCAAATTTTTTTTAAAGAATTCGATGCTTCAATTTCGGTTCCCACTTACAATAATATCTTTCAATTCATGCCCTAGAGCAGAGCTCTGCAACTGGTGTACCTTTGTGTTTCAGATGCCATGAAAATGCCTCCAAGAGAAGGAAAAGGAGAGTAAATATAGGACTGTCAATATAATAAAACTGTGTTGCTACAAAAGGGACATGGGTTACAGCCTATTACAAAGCTGTCAAAATCTATGATAACAGAAATGTGCCTAAAACAGACAGTTAATATTATAGAGCAATACAGTTTAATCTTATACCCTTTAGCATAACACACCATTATGAAATTTAGCTACATTATGTTAAGTATATTTGTGCATGTTTGGACATATTGTGGTGTGCCACGGAATTCTGGGTAAGTCCTAGGGTGTGCCATTAATGAAAAAAAGGTTGCTGAGCTCTTCCCTAGAGTATAAATTTGGAGAGGATTTTTTTAATTCCAAATAACTTTTTCATAAATTCACCCAGGAGCAGATGCCAGCCCCATAGCAGGTAATTAAAAATGCCCTAGGTTCTGACCATGTCAGACACTCACTAACAAGCCAGGTCAAATTAGCTTCAACAGGAGTAGTAGTTTCGTCAATGTCACTACCATACAAGCAAAGGCCTGCCTCAAGCCTGAGACTATCACGTGCTCCTAGACCAATCATTTTCACAGAAGCCTTTGATGATGATAATAATGTGGTCACAACACTGTCAGCTAATGCTGTTGGGATTGATATCTGAATGAAAAAATAGAAATAATATTTTTGTTAACTAAATTATTTATTTAAAGCAGTAACCCAAAAGGTATTTAAGAAATTATAACTATTCATCATCAGTGTTTTGTTCAGATTTAATAAACCCCAACATTTTACAAGATGATGAAAAAGGTGAAAAATAATTACCTCAACACCGTCTTCTCCTGTGTAACCACACCTTGTCACTCTGCATCCATTTGCATTGCATACTTTTGAGACAACAGTTGTCATAAATGGAAGATTTTTTAGATCAAAGTCAATATAAGGCTGCAAAACATTCACCATCTTAGGGCCTGATAAGAATAAAACTTAAATATTTAAAATCTATTAAAAATGTATTTTACAACAACAATAAATACTTAATTAAGTGTGATAAAATTGTAATAAGTTTACAAAATATTTATGGTAAAAATGTCAGACTCAAACAACCAATATTTTCAGACTTTCACTTACTTCATTTTTAACAGATAGAGTTTAATTAACTTTTATCCTTTTCACTGCATTTTTTTGAAATGTATTTTTTAAATTAATTTGTTTACTTATTTGTGGTTAGGTATATCAAGATATTAAGATATTTCATAGTCTATGTCATCAGTTCAGAAATAAATTACTTTTGAACAAATAAAATAATATCAAATTGCAAAAGCTTATAATAAAAGACTATAATCAATATCACCTTGCAATGCAATAAGAGTACTGTCAATAACAGATAGATTGAGATCAGCACCAGCTTTTTTAAAGTGTTTCTCTTTGTCCTGATGAATAGGAAACATGATTTTTTTTTTTTTTTTTTTTTTTTTTTTTTTTATTTTTTTTTTTTTTTTTTTTTTTTTTAAAGATTATGTTATCTGTGAGCTTAACCAATTTAATTTGAATTCATGTTCATTTCATTTATATAACATTAATTAAACACTAATTTTTATAAGGATGCTGACTACAAGTAATTACAATCATTCCAATAACCTTGTTTTTCTTTTAACAAGTAGAAATGACCCTTACAATTGTTGTTAAGAGCAGCTGAAAACTCCCAATTTGTTATAAACATGTAGTTATTTGCATAAGTTATTTTCTGAACTCACAAATAAAATTCCTCATCTCATCAATTATTGGTTTGTGTGCAGAATATTTAAGAGTTGTCTACATGTTCTTTAAACAAATTATATTATTGAATACCAACATAGTTCACATCATTAAAATAATTACGCCATAAAATTAAAAGTATTTTTACAATTCATAATTCACTAAAAATTAAATAATTAAATTTAACATGACATAAAACGATAATGACGAATTTTTCAACCTTCATATGAGCAAAATCTTTATCTGCGCATCCTGCATTTGAAACCACATAAAGGTACCCCTCACTGGCATTGTTGACAATCAGATCATCAAGAATACCTCCTTTATCATTTGTAAACACTGTTAAAGATCCCTGGTTTTCCTTAAGACCTTTTTTTTTTTTTAAAGTATAATAAGAAGGAGCACATTTATTTTGCTGCAGAACTTTAATAAAAACATTTTTAAAGCATTGGCAAGTCAGAGTTGAAGCTTTTATCTACAAAGGTCTGCATTTGTTTGATTTAAAAATAAACATTTTAAAGATTTTATTTTTATTACTTTATACAAACTGAGCATGTAGTGATCACTATTAAAGTGTACAAGTACCTTCTATATCAGTAACGACAAGACTTTCTATAAACTTTTTTCTGTCTTTGCCATCTACTCGAGTTTGTAACATGTGGGCCACATCAAATATGCCAACTTCTCTGAACAAAAAAAAAAAAAGAAAAAAATGAATTTTTATTTTCAGAATTTATCTACTTGCCTTCCATTTCAAAATTGAACAATTGATAACATTCAGTTGATTTTAAGTATTCCGACGCGACCTTACCTGTCAATTGCCTAAAACAAACCTGTTTACCCTCAAACTCTTAAAATCGTACAATATCATCACAAAAGCGTTCAATACATTATCTTAATAGTAAAAAAATAAACAGAGTATATAATATGTATACAAATCAAAATCGTACATTGTACGCCAAAATCATAAGAGTAAACAGGTCTGCTAAGATAAATCTAGTACAAAGGAAGAATCCACTATCAAAATTATTTCAATATCCATTGCACCAAGTGATAATGAGCCATTTACAAAAACTTACAACATAATGCTAAAGCTAAAAATCACAAAACGTTATTAAACTAGGAAATTTTCATTAAAATTTCTATAAAGCTAAAGTGGTTTTTTTATAACTGTAGGTTATGGTTACCATTGTCATTTCTTATTTTTGGATAGTGTGCCTCCCATGTGTTCCTGATTAATTATTTCATACTACAGGCACAACATATCTTTCAGCTGACACTTCCATGTAAAAAAAATTAATGCAGGTCTATTTTTTAATTTTTTTAAGACCTATTTAACATATTTCTTTTTTTTTTTTAATATTGAAATAACATGTACAAATGCTTTATACATCTTTTTATTGCATGCAAATCGTGACAGTGAATTACTGGCACAAAAGATGAAATATTAAAATTACTAAGTTACTAAGCCGCCATCCATAAATGAAGTTTGTACTATTTGTGCAGAATTCAGGACCCTTACCATTTATTCATCATCATAAATTTGTCACATTGTATAGACACCCCCACAATACCTTGTGAACCCCCTCCTCCCCATGAGATGCATGACATCATATATTATGGATGACACCTAAGCAAGTGAAATGAACAATTGCTAAATGCCAATAATGCAAATGGATTTTTGGAAAAGATTTTAAAATGTTGGTAGAATATAGGAAGCTTCCTTACCTTCGTACATGTAGATGCTCCTCAATAATACCTGTTTTATACTGAACAGGCATTTCCCACCCAGCAAATGGGACCATTTTAGCTCCGTGTGAAACATGGAAGTCATACAAAGATGTTCTTTTCAGCGTTTGGGTCTATGGAAGAAAATTGTATACACTCATTATTTTGTTAATGAATTACACAGTGCAATGTTGTTCAACAAAGATCCATAAACTATGTATGATAAGTTATATAGAAAAAGTATTAGTAGATCAATATAAACTTTTTAAAAGCAGTTTAAAATAAACCAAATAAGCATTTACACTACTTTTTAAACCTGTCAAACACTGATCATATATACATACATTTTACTCAAATTCCACTTTTATCCCCTCAAACCCTTTGCTCCCTGTCCACTAACATATCTCACTTTTCTGTCCCTCCTTTACTTTCTCACCTCACCTCTCACCATACTCTATCCTCACGTCTTCTCCAAACATATCTCACTCAACCTGCCTTATACCCATTCCCCATCACCTGCTGATCCTTTGCATTTCCCCCTCATCATTTATTATCTCTAATGATTTGTCCCTAACCCCACTAGCCCCCAAACTCTACCCTTCAACTCTAACTGACCATCTCATTATTCCCACACTCCTCATATCTCCTACCATCTGCACCTTGATCCAAAAATTGGGTCCTTTTCCTGGTTCCTTACCCTCAATTGCAGAAAATTTTATCAGAGCAGAGCACTCTAAAAATTACTAGATCAAAAGCCCTGATCATGACAGTCTGGGCTCAGAGCATGGGCGCCCGCAGAAGGGGGGCAAGGGGGGCACCCCCCCCCCCCCCCGGATTGATTAAAACAATTTTAGACAAAAATAGACAAAAAATGTATTACAGTAAAGAGAAAATAAAGAGAAAGTAACTAAACTTGATACGCTACAGTAAATTAATACTACAATAAAACAATACGAAAAACTGTTTGCCCCCGTGGAAATTTAATCGATTTTTTAGCCTCCCCCCCCTCTTTCATAGAAAGTTTTCTGCGGGCGCCCATGGCTCAGAGTATTGAATTTTTGTTATTTTGAATATGGAAATATTGAAATTAAATTCTTATTAGAGCCAACACAAGTACATATCAGCTATCACTAGGACTAGGATGATCTAACTAGGATACTTATTATGTTTCCTATATTGGAATAAGCTCCAAACTTTTAATACTTTCATATGAAATACTTTCATTTCAAATTTACCTATATTAATAGATTTAAACTAATTTAAGATTCCAAATATATTTAACTTGACTAGACAACATAATTCACAGATGCATTGAATAGACCTGTGTTTCCTAAACTTTTAAGTTTTGAGGACCAGTGGATAAGTTTCAAAATTACAGCAAGATTGGTGCCAGATTTATTAGTTATATTTTCTTTTTTATTTGACCATACATATTCATGTTAAGCGGACTGACAATGTAAGCCTCACAATCTAGCGCCTGTCCACCAACCACCATTTGGGGAATGCTGTTTATGTTTTTACAGTTGTTAAAATTAGTTGGTTTAAAAACTACAGACTACAGTACACACAGTCTTACTATTACTAAGTTACTAAGAATCTTAAAAGACACTCTCAGTCTTAGTCTACAAAAACTGCTATAATTTTTAAATCAACTGTCAATAGTCAATGCACCATCAAATATATAATAAATGTCATACTGTCATACTTGTAATTTTATTAATATAATAATAGGCCTATCTTATCTATAAAATCATCATTGTAATGATTGTAGTTTTGTGTACCAAGAATAAGAAGAAGAAGAATTGTGCCATTTGTGGATTTTAATTTTATTTATTGTGCCCGGGCCTGGAGGCAGGGCCTGCTAGTGCATGGACCTGGATTTAATTTGAATGTAATAAAAAAATGACAATGACTAATGATTCTATGATGACCAATAAATAGTGGCAATGGCAATAGTCAACAATGTGGTAGGCCTATACCCAACAATGTAACAGTAACAGTACCAGTCAACACAGGACACACTGTGACTGTGACTGTCACAGTAAAAACTGTCACACAGGCCCTATAATTAAATTATTCAACAGAAATTATTATCCGAATTATTATTATTACCTGTAGCGGCTTAGTGGCAAAATATCTCATTTTCAAAACATAGTTTAAACTTAGATGCCAACGTGTAATACTATTTTTACAGGCCATCATTGTCATCATTAGTATTATTATTGTTCACCAAACGAACTCGGCTGCAAGTCTTTACTACGTTGTAAAACAGCTGAGTTTTCAGCCACTCTTTTCTTAATTGGCCTTCAACTTTGACCCTTGATCTTTTTTTCTTTTTTTTTTTTTTAAATGATCAGCCAGGACAGTGGTTCTCAGCCTTCCTAATGCCGCGACCCTTTAGAGGACCTCATGTTGTGACGACCCCCAACCATGAAATTATTTTCGTTTCTACTTCATTACTGTAGACTACATGTGTTTTCCGATGGTCTTATGTGACCCCAGTGAAACGGTCATTCGACCCCCCAAAGGGGTCGCAACCCATCAGCTGAGAACCGCTGAGCCAGAATAAAACGCATTTTTCATTTCTATCACTACGACTATGGACTATGGTCATTGATACTTTCTGTCTTAATTAATTCCTTTGCTTAATTTCCTTGTGCGCATTACATTTAAATTTAAAAGCAAAACCACATTCAGTGCTATAATAATAATTAATAGAATATAATCAATGTTTATAACCGATTCCTTTAATTTATCTCTTGTAGATTCTAGCACGAGAAAAAACAAACTATAAATTATGAACTATAAAAATAAATATTGACTAAATAATATTATTTTAACTTTAAATAAGCCAAGTAGAGCCGTCGTGACAAGCTGAAATAACCGGAAGCCTTAACTTCATCTACAAATACTGCAAATAACATTCTACAAATACTGCATGGACTTTTCGGGACATAATTTCAATCAGTTCTTCACATATAGTTTTGGATAAATAAGAAGAATTTCCTTTTCCAGAATTTCCATATTTCGCAATGTGTGATGCTATATACACATTTTTCTTGTGGTGCCTCCCCCCCCCCCCCAATGCTTGGTTCCTTTTCCAGAATTTCCATATTTCGCAATGTGTGATGCTATATACACATTTTTCTTGTGGTGCCTCCCCCCCCCCAATGCTTGGTGCCATAGGCACGTGCCTTGTTTGCCTAATGGTTAATCCAGCACTGGCTGGATGATCAGATTGTTTGACTGTCCGACTGTAGAACCGGCGGACGGTCAGATGGTAAAACAACGCCGGCCTTATGTAAACTTTCACCCTGTGCGAAGCACCCGTTCGGCGAACCCTTCCCTGCGCCTGTATGGCTCCACCCTTTTTCCGATTACGACGTATGCTATGGAACACGTGTTATGATGCTAACCATACGAATTTTAACATGCACATTAATTTCTGAAATAATCACGGGTGTGGACCACATATTCAAGTCTTTAGCGGAAACTCAACAGCTTCCAACAAAGATGTCTGCGTCGATGGCAGGACAAGGTGCATAACACAGAGGCCTTGGAACTTGCAAAAATGTGTTGCATATTCTCCGCTCTTAGCAAGAGGCGCCTACGCTGGTTAAGTCATGTAAGGAGAATGGAGGAAGGTCGTATTCCAAAGAAGCTGCTGTATGGAGAGTTGGCAAAAGGGACAAGACTTATTGGACGGCCACGGCTGCGATTTATGGGCTTTGCAAAAAGAACGCAAGGGAAGCCAAAATAGAAATCAACGAACAGGAGATCATTGCTGAGCAACGCTCCAGCTGGCGAATAGCAGTGTATGAAGGAGTCAAAAAGGCAGAAGGTACACGAAACGAAGCTCTTGCAAAAGAAAAAACGATACGGAAGGCCAAATCTAACTAGGAGTCAAAATTCTAGTTTGCCGTTTCAGATCGGCCTATTGAGCAATTCGTTGAAGTGTACATAACTAATCCATCGTTTCGCGAAGATGGAAGAATACCATATAATAATTTATTAAATGAATATAAAATACGGTACAAAATTAAATATACAGATATAAAATCTATACTAACTTACAGTACGTCAAGTAAATCCTCAAAAGATAACAAATATTAATACACGACACACATAGACACACACACAAAGAGTAATATCTTGTAAGGCTTCTATAAGTATATTAAGTTTTGTAATATCTCTCGTGCTTAGGGAATCTAGCAAATCTCTCTTCCGGCTGGGAAAGCTGTCGGCGTATATACAGAGACGATCTTAGAAACTTCCATAAAAGAAATTGCATCCCCCGATAGCATTCTTTAAAACAAACTAGAACATAAACAACTTTTACCCAAATCAAGGAAGGGGTGGGTAGTGGTAGAGCGCTACACATTTGATTGGGTGACGTCTATATTTTTTTTTAAAGGTGGAGGGGGGAGATATGAAGTGGAAATTTCAGCTCTACGTTGATGCAAAATTAGCCCAATAAAATCGAATCGTGAAAGCTCTGCTAAATTTTGTATTTCACAGGCAGGCAGGCAGGCAGACAGGCAAGCAGACAGACAGACAGACAGACAGACAGACAGACAGACAGACAGACAGACAGACAGGCAGGCAGGCAGGCAGGCAGGCAGGCAGACAGACAGACAGATAGACAGATAGACCGATAGACCGATAGACCGATAGACCGATAGACAGATAGACAGATAGACAGATAGACGGGTAGACGGATAGACGGATGGATGGATGGATGGATGGATGGATGGATGGATGGATGGATAGTTAGATAGATAGATAGATCTAAAAGTACACCCCACCCCCCCCCACCCCACCCCCCAAAAAAAAGTGTCGCCAGGGGCATACTGCCCGCTCGTCCTGTGCAAACGGTGACAATTTGAAAAATGAGGAATGGATATAGCACATGGATGAGGAAGAAATATAAACTTTACTCGCTGCTGCCGTCATTGGCAATTTTTTTTTTTTAAAGGGGGGGGGGTGGTGGGAACAAGCCTATTACCTATGGGTGCTTAAGACTAAGTCCGGCTGCTATTGGTTTACAATTTACTCAACATTTCATTCGTTTAACTGTTACATTAAGATTTTAAGTATCACTTTCAGTGTCAAGGTTTTTATTGATTTTTTTTAAAAAAATCCGTTCGTGAGCAATTTTTTTTTTGGTCCGGGGGGGGGGGGGCACTTGGCTTTCCCGAGATATAGCTGAAAGAAAACCTGGCAAGGGTTAGTGCCTTCAGAGCGAGCAAAATATTCTTTCACCCTTCCATGGAAAAAAAAACAACTCTACATTGGCCGAAAAAGCTGCCCCTCTGTATCACGCCACTGACAAGAAATACATCATCAAAACAAAACAGCAATACTATAACTATGAGATATAATAGTGCCAAAAAAATAATTCTAATGGAGTGAGGGTGGAGGGAGCTCATTTGTATGTATGCTTTGAGAAGAGTTAAACAAAATGTCGTGATTGCAAGGATTGAAAAATGTAAAATAATTTAAAAATTTAGCTTCAATTATAAAAAGACAATCAAGGACTGGAGCATGCTTCTAAAGGAACAGTTGAGGCGACAACACTTGACAGATTTGTGTCTATTTAATCAGGGCGCAGGCCTTCAAAATCCTATAGTTCCTGATATCCTTGCTTAGCAGCCATTGCAACCAGGGAAATATCCTTAGCACAGACAGACACAGAAACATTGCAAATCCCGCTACATACATAGGAGCTAGAATGATCAATACATTGATCGTGGACCCTTTTAATCTATAGAAGAAGAATTAATAATACCAATATTTTGGATGGCTCTATTGAAATTGTCTATTTCAAAATTGTATCTTGAATTTGATTAAGTTTAACAACAGTTTATATTTAGACTGGCAATGTTTTGTTAACATTTTACCCCCCCCAAAAAGTTATTAAAAAATACTCGAAAAAATGAGGGTTCAATTGTCATTGATATACATCAGATACATCAGGAATATAACTATAACCCTTTCTGAGTAGATAACTGAACAAAGTCACAAGTTGTACATTTGATTTTGAATATTAATTAAGCGAAAATTATTTGATTCTTTTTTCTAACCAATCAAATTTGGCGAAGTTTAATGGCCGCACCGCTTTGTGTGGTTACAGCGGAAGTCAAACAAAATAACAGAAAATGCTTTATCTTGAAGACTATTTAGAACGTACGTATTTTTATCCGACAATAGAGGTTGAAATATACGCTACAAATTAATTTAAATGCGTTTAAGACTTACAATAACGTCTACGTTTCATTTCGTTTGAATTTATTAAAACACCACACGTATACGTCATAAACCGCAAAATTCTACTTTCACTTTTCGTTTTCAACCTGTTTCGGCCTTATTAAAAAAATAAATACTGCTTATGTTTGTTGACTAATTTTTGGTTTTGCTTGAGAAATTTTAGTTCATAATTTTATCGAATTCTTTTTCAAAATAAAGGAGCCATTTTAAGAGCTTAACATATTAATATTATGAACTTTTTTTAGTTTATAGTATAATTTCAAGTATTAAATTTAAATAACTAGACTACTCATTCATTAATTATTAATTTAATAATAATTAAGTATAGTTTAATTATATTCATGTCATAGTATAATAATATATATTAATATATAGAGTATAGGCTTATCTAAGTAAAGGACTAAATTATTTTTTAAAATAGATTTTTGGTTATGCCTACTTTCAATACTGCATCTGCATATATAATTAATAATAAAAATAAAGTGGTACATAAAGTAATCAAAAGCCTCCTCTGACATTTCCCTACTATGCACACAGAGCCATTACCCCACCCTCTCTCATAATTCTAATCTTTCCCTTTAACGTTAAGCCATATCTTACTCTTTTCCCCTTTCCCAGTCCCCTTCATTATCCTCAAAACAATTTCCCCCCTCACAATTTTCCCCTTTAATTTCTCCCTCCCCTGACCACCATCCCGCACAATTACACCTTTACCCTCTTACCTTTTCCTCCCTTGATTTCTTACAACTTTTCTCTCCTTACTCTCTAAAATTACACTCCCCATTGATCCTCTCCTCTAACCTGACCCATATCTGTTTAACTCCTACTTTCTCCACCTAACATTTCCCAGCAACCCTCATCCTACTCTCTTTTTCATGTTCTCCACCCTCAAACCCTGCCTGTTCCTCCTTATCCTCTATTTCTCTGTATTACCCATCAAACTCCCAATGACATCAGATGCCATGTTCTTTCAGTCTCTTTATGGGCTACTCACCTACTCTCCCTATTCTCCCCTATATTCCCCCAACTCACACACACACTAAATCCTTTCATGTAAAGAACAAAAAGTAAACTTTGAAAAACATTAAGTTTTGAAAAAAATTATAGTTTACTCTCTTATCTCTATTAAATACAATTTGGGGGAATTAGTCACTGTGGTGTTCTTTAACAAAAATACTAGTACCTTCTTTTATAATATGAAATTGCAACAACAAAAAATTATGTATGGTCATTCACCCTTGCTCAATTATTTCATTCTCATCATTTCCAGTTTTCCTTTTTTTTTTTGAATCTCCTAAAATAATCTTTTATTTGTCATACTTTTTTTACCCAAAATTTTGATAAAAATCAGTGACCTATCCACTCCACATCACAGGGATCTGAAGTAGATTGCGTATCAGTAGACCAGGTGCAACCATGGGCTCAAGCATAAATGAACATGAATTTTCCCCAGACATTTTGTTTTTTTATGCAATTGCCCCTTCCAACTGCACTGCATTACACATCAAATGAAACCACTTGATCTGCACAGCTCATATTTAACATATAGCTTATACATGATGAATAACTATGATTTTCAAGTGATTTTTGGACTGAAGCAATTCCAAGTTTAATTCATTTATACAAAAAGTCTGTGAATCCTTTTCACCCTTGCTTGAGCAGACGGCAATCAATAATTTTTGTTTATTAAAGATCACCTAGTTTATGACAATTCATTTTTAGTTTTCAAGTTGTTATAGAAACATTTTTGTGAAATCTGTTTACTAGAAAACAGATAATATTTAACTAATATTAGTTATAATTGTGTAAAAAAATGGACCATGTAACTTCCCAGATTAAAGTGGGACCTATTTGCAATTCAACTGCTAATACCCACTTTGACAACCCAAAACTAAGGATGTGACCTATCCAATAGTGCTACCTATACGCTAGTACAAATTATATTCTTTTTCCTTTTTGCCATTTCTTCACAAATTGAATTCTTTATTTCCTAAATTCTTTTCATTACAGTTATTGAAAATCTTCCTATGGAAATGAGGGAAAAGTTGACAGAAATGAGAGAAATGGATTTACAAGTTTCCAGTTAGTGTTTTTCTATCTTGAAATGTGCTTGTCACTTAATATTGAAGAAATAATAATACTTTTTTTACAAAAAGTCAATTTGGATTGAAAACATCATTTTGTTCAAATACCGAAAGGTAATAAAAATGTATAGTAATTTGATGATAAAAATTATCACACGTAAAAACATAACTTTTTGTATCCTAAATGATTTTTCTATTAATGATATTTTTCCGTTGATACTATAATCTGTACATTTTTCTCAAACAGATACTTTAGATACTCTTGACGAAAATGTGAAAACCTTCTTTAAGAAATGCCAACAGCCAAATAGTAAAAAAGAATGGCGAGAAGAACAGTTTAAAAAAATTAAAGAGGTTTGTAGTTACAGAACATATATTATGCTCTAATATGTTAATGCTTGACATCTGCTTAAACAAAACAATTTCATAAAACAAAATGGTTGTGACAGTGAGTGTAAGTCTAAATCAGTGAATAAGCCTTTTGATATGTGAATGTACACAATTATTTAATTCTTTACAGGAATATTACAAAGCCTTAGAAGATACAGATGAAAAAGTTCAACTAGCAAACCATATATATGAGCTGGTAATTACATGGCATATACTAAAATAGTTTACATCTGAAACTTTTAAGAAACAACTTTTCATATTGTCATTTAGTTAATTATTTTAACATTTTTAAAGCAATAGCTTATTGTTCTTATGTGCTTAAAAATTATTCCTATTCCTAAATAGGTTGATAGACATTCAAGAAGATTAGACCAAGAGCTATCAAAATTTAAAATGGAATTGGAGGCTGATAATGCAGGAATCACAGAAGTGTTGGAGAAAAGTATGTGGTGGCCATTTTGGTTTAACAATTTGGGAAGTAACTTATAGCATAGAGGAATAGAACGGTGTGTACAACACGATGAGGCCTGCATCTGGTTTAATGGCCCTCAAAAGCTTCTGAAATTGTTTAAATTTGTGTAAAAATATTGAAATGACTAGTTTACTTTCATATCTATTCAATCTTGTCACCAGGTAGACTAAGATTATGAAAGAATTTATGAAAGTAAAAATAATTGAAAATGAACTGCTTTTTTTTTTTTTTAGAAATGTTTACATTACTGATGCTCTTTATGTAATTTAAAAAAAGGCCTCTGACAGAAACTCACAAAACATCTCCTGGTTATTTTGATATCTTTTATGTTTTATGAAAGTAAAAATAATTGAAAATGAACTGCTTTTTTTTTTTTTTAGAAAGGTTTACATTACTGATGCTCTTTATGTAATTTAAAAAAAGGCCTCTGACAGAAACTCACAAAACATCTCCTGGTTATTTTGATATCTTTTATGACAATATTTTCTCGACCCCCACCAACTACCCGAACACAAATTAAATGTTAACAACTCTGATGGAGGAAATTATTGTTTATAATGCAAAGGTTGACTTGACTTATTCATCATTCAAACTGCTAACATTTTCCAGCCCCATATTCTCCAGACTTAGTTAAGAGTGAGCTAATCATTCTTTTGTAAGTAGAGTGGAAACTGCATTTCTCTGCTTGTTTTTAAAGATTTTAGTAGTGCATCTCCTGCTACGATTTTCCTTTGAAAATCAATTCAGATACAATTCTACTGTTGCCAGTTCGGCCATGATGTCAAACCTGTGGTTGAGTCATGGAAATGGATAAAAAGATGTGTTAAATTTAAACACTTAAACTGTTTGATAGTTTATCTTGCAGCCACCCAACACAAACTCATTTGAATGCTTAAAATGTCTTTCCAGGATCTTTAGAGCTTGACAAGCCACTTCCTAACTTCACAAATCATAAATCTGAAAGTAAGTTGAGATGAAAATTAACGGCTAATGTGAAGAGATAGCACTCTGGTTCCAATAGGGTCAAAACCCATGTTAGGGATAAGTTTAGGGTTCAGGTTAGGTTTAGGGATAGATTTAGGACATAAGGTCGCGGGTCGCTGCAACGAAGGTAAAAAAACGCTGTGCTATCTCTTCACATTTACCAAATTAACCACATGTTAAAATGATCAACCGGAAACTTGAGCTCACGACATTAACATATCAGTTAACGTTTCCAACATTTAAGTTTTTTTTTGGTTATCTAACATTTTTTTTAAATTTCTCATATTTCATTCATAATTTCAATCAATAAGTAAAACTTGTAATAACTTTGATCTCAGAGAGACGACTGACACACACTCAGTCCTCAGTCACAAACCACACAGAAAAACGACCAGCAACAGATGTCCTCTCATCGCTTGCCAATGAGGTGGTGAGGGAGTCTTTGGGTCCACGGAGGCCAAGTTCATCTTCTAGCTCACCAGCCATGACTATGTTCAGTTCAGGTTCAGGGTCTGGAATATCCTACACTTTGGGCAATATTGGTGCAGGGAACCCAGCAATAGCTGCAGCAGCTTCACAAGCTATAGCAGCCACACAGCAGGTTGTTAATTTACTCTGTAGCACATAAGGGGGCTAATTCTGAATGACTTGGAATATGGATAGCCAAGTTGCTGTGGTTCAAAGCAATTATTTGGAGACCTTTTTATTATATGTCTTGAAATATTGAATATGGGGAGATTTTTACTTAAGTTTGAGTCTTTTTAAGTGTGAGATTTTTCAATATGTTGCAATCCTTTTTGAATTGGTATTGTAAAAAGTAAACTATGTAATGTTAACTTAATATGTAGACTATTTGTTGGCATCATGACTTTCTTTCTTTTTTTCAGTTAGCACAAGGTCGCCGAACATCAAGTATGAAAGCTAGTTATGACTTAATGACCAAAAATCCACCTAAAGAAATTAGTATACCCCAATCTGCATCAGCACCATCAACCCCTGAGCCCAGATCACAGCGCACAAAAAAGTGAGTTGAGGATTCATGAGATATATTTTACTATTATGACTCATATGTTCTCTTTCTAACCTCAATTACAGATATTCATTAAAAGTGCATTTTATCCACAATGATATTTTTGTAACACACCTATGATATCAAGTGTACACAAACAAACAAATATCTCTTTTTTTTTAAATTTATCTTAAGCTGATGTCACTCAGTAACTAAAATTCCGTTTCCAATGCACCTTCAAGACATTAGATATACATCTAATTTTGGTGCATCTTGTTTACTTTGAAATCTCCGTGGCCACTCATATCTGTGATATTCATAATTCTTGGATCAAAATGTGACCCAGAGTGGCCATCTGCATTCTCGTCCTCTGTCTTGCTGATGCCTGCCACCCTACATCTTCTGTAACAAGCTTTTCCAATAAATCTTTTTTAAACTCCTGCCTAGATTTTTTTTATAAAGTATTACATTTACAAACTTTCTAGACAAACAACCAAAGCTGCAGCTTTAGCAGCCCAACAACAGCAACATACAACCACCGGAGCAAATGCTTCTCAACCATCAACACCGCAAGTTACAACAACAGAACCTGAAGATCTGTCAACAGATGTCCAAGTAGAGGAATGGGGAGCAGATCCAAATGAGCCTAGATACTGTCTTTGTAATCAGGTGTCTTATGGTGAAATGGTTGGATGTGATAATAATGATGTAAGTAATTTTTCCCTTTGTTTATATTTTTTATGTGCAACAGATTTAGGTGTGGCCAAGGAGGCACTGGTTGTGGTGAGGGCAGAAAACTGTGAAAATGTACCAAGCTCAACTTTTATCATTATTATAATAATTGAGAGCTTATTCTGTAAACTGCCTAATTTGATATTATAATGTATTTGAGTAAAAAATAACTCAATAACTCTACATATTTCCTTATTTAAAATAAAGTATGTTCCCAATGGGAGTTATGTCCTGTACTTTTGTGCAGCCATTGCGCAGCAATAATAGGTTAGGTAGGAGTTTGTTATTAATGACTATTTAAAATTCAACCTTCCTAATCATTTTTTTATTAGTACTGCAGCTCTATATTTTCAAATGACATCCAACTTTGGTTTTATTTGATAATCAGTTGTATTTGTTCACAGTGTCCTATAGAGTGGTTTCATTATGGATGTGTTGGTTTATCTCAAGCCCCAAAGGGAAAATGGTATTGTCCTCAGTGTACAGCCGCAATGAAGAGAAGAGGACGGCGATGACAAGTGTTTGTGTGTGAATGGGAATATAAGTGGAGCCTGGTGATATAATGTGAATAGATTGGCTGGTGAATATGGACTTCTGAGTCATGTCTTATAGATCAACTTGAGCTTTTGACTCTCCACATTGATAACTGTCATTAACGTTAGTAATATACTCCGGGTCAGGGGTTTAGAAGCACTGGGTGGTACACAAAAATAAAGGTAACTTTTAATATCTATTAGGTAACCATTTATGTCCGTTCAATAAGCTGATTGATTGGTCAGAAAATATATAGGAGACTTCATTCAAGCCGAGTAAAGTAAATATATAGTGGAACAAGATATCTTTGAGCTGGACAAAAAAAGACAGAACAAATTTAAAGAAAATTAACACTACAATTAAATTATTTTTCTTTTAGCCTAAACATATCTTTTTCCACTATTTGATTATTCAGAAGAGAGAAGAGGCTTTATTGTCATGAGAACAAAACATTTAAGAGAATGCTAGATTAGGTTAATATTGATGGAAATTGAAAAGAGTTAATATTGATGGAATAGAAAAAAACTTGACAAGAATTCCAAAATGGTTATATGTGAAGTATATCTTAAGTATATTTTTGGAAATACTAAATGGTTACTGGTGCTCGTCATTATTACCCGGTACCAAAAAAGCCATCTTTGACTTTGGTTATAGGTAATTTAATTATATTAACTACCAAAATTTTTTAATTGCAGCATTTCGGGTCTGTATATTAACTGATCCCTTATGAATTAGCAGCCATTATTGTTGTCTACACTTGACATAAAGAGAATCTAGTGTTAAGTCAAATCGTTTTAATTCACTAACTAGGCATATTGTGTTTGTACTAATGCTATCAGCATTTCTTACAACATTCTGATACTTTAGTCTAACGGTATGTGAATTCACTTTCCTTTGAAATTCAATTGGTATTCAATTCAATTTACCCCTACATTAATTGAGTTTCATTTTCTGCAACTCACATTACTATCGTATATAAAATATTTGTGCATGTTTACTGATATAGTTCATCAAACTAGGTAAATGAAAAGATGTGTGGAAAAAAAATTTGTATTGGTAAAATTTTATTGTGTGCATTTTATGAAAATGCAGATTTGATAAATCAATTGATATATCAAAAAGCGATATAAAGTTAATAAGGTATATAATATTTTGATATTGTTGCCCATATAGACAGTGCTGTTAACATGTTATGTGTCCCATATATATTAAATCCAGCACGTCATAACTATTTATATTTTTGGTTCAGATGTCATGGCTGTGGGGATGATAATCCTCCAAAATTTTAAAACTGAAACCTTCAATCAATTATCAGAATATTTTAAGATTTCACATGTTCAAGTCCCTTTATATTGTGAAATGAAAGCCATTTGTTACAAGCTCAACAGATTTTGTGGATATGATTAGTTTCATCTTTTTAACATGTTCTGAATAAATTATAGAAATATTTTAGACTTACATCTTCAACTTTAAAATATAGAGTTTGAGCATCCATGCAATAATGGACATATTTATTTTTTGAAGATTCATTACAATTTGTATATATTATTACAAAAATGTATTGAAAATAGCTGGGGTTTTTTCAACTAATAAAACGCACTGTATTTTGTTAAATTAAAAATTAGACAAGCAAGGCATAGCAAATTGTATGAAATCTTCTTAACATGTAAAACTTTTTTTTACAAGAATTAACTATCCCCTACGAAGCTTTTTCACAAATCTTCTTACCATAAATTGCTTCAAAAACATCTCTGTTAATTAACTATCATGATGTGCTTGGTTGATTTAATTAGTTTCCTTTCTGTAAAATATATTTTTCAATGCTAACTAAATTATATAATTGAAATTGTGTGCAAGGATATATAGGAAATTTGCTATGCAATAAATTCATTACCAAGCTACCATTTTTTAATAAATGGGTAGATGCTATGTTTTACTAGAAAAATAATGTTAAATATTTAAATTTAGAAATAATATAAGAAATTAGAATTTGAATATATAAATATCCAGCGCCGTGCTTAAAAGCTTAGGCTTATGATTTATCGCTTGTAACGCTGCAAATATTCATTCCAACATATTTATCATCCAATTTAAAATGAATAAATTATTTGAAGCTGGTGTTACAAAAGTTGATTTTCTTAATATAAGTAAATTATACTTATGTATATACTTTTTATTTCTCGTGTTGGGGAAAAATTTGAAATACTATGATAAAATGCTGAATAGTTTAAGTCCATATGACATACATTTATAGGACACAACAGTTAAAATAATAATTTAATCAACTGTTTTACAAGACATGATTGTTATATGATGTGCAAGCAGATGTGTATAAACAATTGACTTGTTAGGATTATGTTTTTTTAATCTTATTTTTTATTAAGTCCGTATGTGTATAAATATATGTAATTGTCATTCTGCTGTTGATATTCATTTCAGATTGTTTTTTAGAATTGGTCGTGATTAATAAATAATATGTACAAGAAAATAACTTTCTTTCTTTTGAATTTTAGAACCTTGTTGTTTTAGCGATTTTATTATGAAATGTTTTTAAATTGGCAGAAGATTTGAACAGCACAGACCATTATCTTACTTGCAGGGAGTAATATACAGTGGTACCTTGGTATACGTCTGCTTTGGAATAAGTCCAAATTGGTATACGCCCTGTTTGAAAGAGAAAGATTTTGCTTAGTATACGACCTTCATTTGGAATACAACCCGCGTGCATGCTAGAACTTGTATGTGTCAACTACTAGGATGGATCAACTCACTTCAGGCTCTGAGGAGGAGTAGATAGAGGAAGCCCCTACTTCATTAATCAAGGAAATATTTGCTAAATGGATGGATGTCAAAAACTTTGCAGAGAAGTGCCACCCCAACAAATCCCTAACAAGTTGTAATTGTCTGGAATGACCAGACAATGTCACATTTTCGAAACATCCTGAGAAGTCAGAAGCAAAGCTCTTTAGACAGTTTTTAAGTAAAAGTCAAACCTGGTGAGCCTCAACTAGGGAAAAGAGACAGAAAAAACAACAGAATGTCATATTCCTGAAGTTTTATTGGAAGCAGACTCTCCTTCAAAACAATACCATCTCCTCCTTCTCAGAACCATATTAGTAAGCACTTGACTCTTCTCACCAAGGTAAAGTGAGGTTAAATTTTCATTTATTTCACCAAAGTTCTTGTTTAAACTTTTTATTGATGTATTTTAGTATAAAGCAGTGTTTAAATTATTTTATACAACCACGTCAATAATTTTATAATATGCCAATAACAATATGATTTTTTTTTCATGGGAACGGATTAATCAGTTTCCCTTTATTTCTTATGGGAAAAATATGTTTGGTATACGTCCTGTTCCAAGGTTCTGGAACGGATTAAGGACGTATACCGAGGTGTCACTGTACTTGAGAAATTTAAAATGAATAGGAGCAAATTTAAGGCAAAAAAACTATTAGCGTGACGTGACTACAGAAGTTGACATTGTGTTTTAGTTTTCAGAAGTATATTTTGTTTAAGTATTTTGAAATTTTTAAGGGAGAAAAGGATTTTTTGGATGGGGTGCTTTACAGTTAGGTCTGAAAATGCGCTAATGCCTTTCAATTTCAAGGGACGCAAGACTTAGACCAACAATTCGTTGGGGTTCATAGAAAAATAAAATCTTAAACTTAAATAGTTAATGAGAATGCTGGAATTGAATTAAAGGCAAAATATTCACCCCAGGTGACCAAAGGTCGCATATGATATTACTACGCTTTTTGAAATATACTTAATATAAATCTTTGCGATTTTTGCTTTAATTGTCAAATATTCTAGTTGTTGAATATTTGGCTCATTGTCTAGGTTTATGATTCTCGCTTTTGTTTACATGTCTTGTAAATCTTGTCACACAACAGACTAGTTGATTCATCAAAACAATACGCTTCAAGGTACATAAGACATTTATTTGCTGATCGCATTACTAGATTAATGCGTCTCATAGTTTAGTGAACATGAATCCAACGTATATGGCAATATTCCAATCAGCAAAACATATCATGACAAAATCCACTATCTCCCCAAAGAAAGACGTCTCGCTGTAGCGAGTCCTATCTCTCGTCTAACCTCTGTGAACGTAATCCCCCGTGACATAATAATTCTTCTCCTCTCACTCTCCCGTCTGTGAACCCTTTATACCCCAAATCTCATGCCTCGTTCACTCCACTATCATTCGCCCGTGACATGAAATTAGTTCACAATCCGCATTCGTCCTCAAATCAACACACACACACTACCTCATGATTTCATGACCTTGACATATCTCCCCCCTTTCCTTTTCAGATTCTACTTATAGTAGAATCGATATAACTATGGTCAAGTCATGAAATCATACCAGATTTATTAACAATCATAGAATAATATATGTATGTAAACTGAAAACATTACAAAGTCAATGGTGCCTACTACGATTAATCACACTTTGTTACAAATTGGCTCTAATTCTTCCTTAACATGTGCCCCAAAAATTATTTACAATCATATCTGCAAAAAAAAATGTCAACAACGGAAATCCTATGGACAGCCATTAATTGTCCAGCCTGTTGGTACAGTCTATGAGGGCGGGATATTCCGTTTATCTGTAGCTTTCCAAAAATTGTGCAAATTTTTCCACCAGCTCACAACGCCCCTGTAATGTATTACATGTTTCACAATGCTTGTCACATAGTCAATCCCCAAAATTAACATATACAACACATTAGAGAATGGACCCCAATATTCCCCAAATTGTTGACATAATTTGTCAACCCAAAAGTTCAACTTTTTCACCTCTTCAAAAAAATCCAATTTTTTAACAACCAAATATTTACTCCTTAACCCAACATGACATGATTCATCAAAATACACAATATTTTTCTCCTCATCTTCATAACCCAAGCGGTCAATGCCAAACTCATTTGTCCCAA